ACGGAAAAAAAATAACAGAGCGGCTAAAAGAGGTCAATATATCTGAAATGCGTAGGAGACACTGGGCAGAGAAATAGCAAGCATCGAACTTAAGCTAAAGAATCCTTAGGAGTCAGGAATCGCGGGAAGAACTAAAAGCCATAAATGAAATCGAAAGAAACCCCCAAAGTATTTCTTCTCCTTGCCAAACAAAATCGAAAACAACGTCCATTTTGGGCCCCTACTTAAACAAGATGGGCCTACACAGATGACAACAAAAATGAGTGGCTACTTAAGTCCCAAAATGAAATTTTTTTACAATAACCAATATGAATTAATTTTTTTTTTATGAGAGAGCCAAAATTTGATTAACACAAGCCTACCGATTTTACCCGACGCCAAAAATTTCGAACAGGCGAAAAAGACATGCCCATGCACTCTCCCCAGGCCAGACTCGGGGAAACCGTGTTCTCAAAATTTAAGAAAGCCCCTTTCACGACCCTTTTTCCCACCTATGGAGAGGGAGCTGGACACGGGGCGCCCACAGTTTCTAAAAACAACAGACAAGCCCCACTCCACAAAGGGGGGGAGTAAAGCAACAGCAAAGAACTACGACCAATAGCACTAACACCCAACATAAAAATCTTTGAAGGGGCCTAAGAAGCAAAACACCACGCATCTAGAAACCCCATTACAAACCCAGGGGGAAAAGGGTTTAGAACAGGGCGCTCCTGTCGTCTCAACTATTGGACCACTACGACAAGGTCCAAATGCACTAGAAGACAAAAGAATCAGATGTAATATATAAGACTTTGCAAAAGCCCCGGACAAGTGTGACCAGGCGTAATAGCCACAAAAAGCTGCTAAAAAGGGAAAAACAGGGAAAATCGGTCGATGGATTATAATTTCCCCCACTAACAGAACCAGAAATATCGTCAAAAAGTAAAATCCGAGGGAGCTACGGGGAAAACTCTGTTCCACAAGGCACAGTAAACCCCTCCCATCTTGTTCCTCACCTTATATCCGACATAGACAAGGATTTAAACCACAGCACCGGTCTTCCTTTGCAGATGACACCCGAATCTGCTGACAGTGTCTTCCATTGCAGACACTGCAAAGCTCCAGGCAGACATCAACCAAATCTTTCAGTGGGCTGCAGAAAACAATATGAATTCAACAAATGAGAAATTTCAATTACTCAGATATGGTAAACATGGGAAATTAAATCTTCACAGAGTACAAAACAAATTCTGGCCACAAAATAGAGCGAAACACCAACGTAAAAGACCGGGGAGTGATTCATGTGGGAGGATCTCACCTTAAAGGACCATAACACTGTATCATCGCATCTGCTAGAAAAATGACAGGATGGATAATGAGAACCTTCAAAACTAGGGAGGCCAAGCCCATGATGACACTCTTCAGGTCACTTGTTCAAACTAGGCTGGAATATTGCTGCACACTAACGCACCTTTCAAGGCAGGTGAAATTTGCCGACCTAGAAAATGTACAGAGAACTTTCACGGCGCGCATAACGGAGATAAAACACCTCAATTATTGGGAGCGCTTGAGGTTCCAAACCTGTATTCCCTGGAACGCAGGAGGGAGAGATACATGATTATATACACCTGGAAAATCCTAGAGGGACTAGTACCGAACTTGCACACGAAAATCACCCACTACGAAAACAAAAGACTTGGCAGACGATGCACCATCCCCCCAATGAAAAGCAGGGGTGTCACTAGCACGTTAAGAGACCATACAATAAGTGTCAGGGGCCCGAGACTGTTCAACTGCCTCCCAGCACACATAAGGGGGATTACCAACAGACCCCTGGCAGTCTTCAAGCTGGCACTGGACAAGCACCTAAAGTCAGTTCCGGATCAGCCGGGCTGTGGCTCGTATGTTGGTTTGCGTGCAGCCAGCAGCAACAGCCTGGTTGATCAGGCTCTGATCCACCAGGAGGCCTGGTCTCAGACCGGGCCGCGGGGGCGTTGACCCCCGGAACTCTCTCCAGGTAAACTCCAGGCATTTACAAGTCATCATACCTGGAGTATACCTGGAGAGGGTTTTGGGGATCAGCGCCCCCGTGGCTCGGTCTGAGACTAGGCCTCGTGGTGGATCAGGGTCTGATCAACCAGGCTGTTACTGCTGGCCACACACAAACTGACATACGAACCACAGCCCGGCTGGTCAGGTACTGACTTGAGGTGCCTGTCTAGTGCCTTCTTGAAGACAGCCAGGGGTCTGTTGGTAATCCCCCCTTATGTATGCTGGGAGGCAGTTGAACAGTCTTGTGCCCCTGGCACTTACTGTGTTGTCTTTCAATGAACTCATGGCACCCCTACTTTTCATTGGGGGAATGTTGCATCTCCTGCTGAGTCTTGTACTTTCATAGGGAGTGATTTTCATGTGCAAGTTTGGTACTAATCCCTCTAGGATTTTCCAAGTGTATATTATCATGCATCTCTCTCACCTGCATTCCAGGGAATACAAATCAAGGGACTTGAACCATTCCCAGTAGCTTAGGTGCCTTATTGTACTTATGTGTTCCTTGAAAGTTCTTTGTACACTTTCCAGGTCAGCAATTTCGCCTGCCTTGAAGTGGGCAGTTAGTGTACAGCAGTATTCCAACCTACAGAGAACAAGCGATATGAAGAGAAATATCATGGGCTTGGCGTCCCTAGTTTTGAAGGTTCTCATTAGCCATCCTATCTTTTTCCTAGCAGATGCGGTAGATACATTGTTGTGGTCGTTGAAGGTGACATTATCGCTCTCAGGTCCTTCACATTACTTTTTTGCTCTATTGTATGGTTAGAATTTTCTAAATTAATATCACAGTTTCTTCAATTAAAGAGTAAGTTAGGATATTACACAGCCCAGATCTACTTCAGACCTTTCAGAGAGACCAAAAAGACTGATATCCTTAAAAAACACAAGTACAGTACATCAAACTTGAAGCAGTTCAGAAGTGCCATTATTAAGTTATCAGCCTCGAAGGGTTGAAGCTAATCAGATGAGGGACAGAAATTATTGCATGAACAGCAGTATTTTTGTTTTTCCAATTTCTTTCAGAAAAGTAGATTGGGACCTATATACAGTAGGGACCCGCTTTTTGGCATTTCGCCTTATGGTGTTCCGCTAATACGGCGATTTCAGGTTATGACCAAAATTTTCTATACGGCAAGCGGTCTTTCAAATATGGCACGTGCCACCTGGTTTGTTTACATTCTCCATGAGCACATCTCTCTATTATGTAATAATAATCACTCTTGGGCACGTTAAATGTCTAATTTTACATCAATATAGACATTTTCATTAATCCATCTATATAGGATATTTTTTTCAAAATTATATAAGAAAACAGAACTAGCATATAAAACATGCTGTTTATGTGCATGGGGGTTTGGGGTGCCGGGGTGAGGGAGGAAAACATTATGTAAAAATAATAATAATCACTCTTGGGCACATAAATCCTTATTTTACTTTAAATATAGCATTTTTCATTAACCCATCTATGATATTTTTTCAAATTATATAAGAAACAGGTTGTAGTAGCGGGGAAGTGGAAAAACATTTAGTCACTCCCCTTAATACATAACGCTTTTGTTTACAATTCTTGGCATGAATTATTCATTACTTCTCTCTTTGTTTATGATGGCATCTAAAGGTAGTTCTTATAAACAATTAAACTTGGTGAACATGGTATGTCAATGGTAATAATATGGCTCTGGGCAGCATTAACCCTTAAACGGTCCAAACAAATTGACGTTCAAATTCATAGTGCTACAAAAGTAGATCTACTTTTTTTTACATATTTTCAAATATAAAAAAAAATGTAAATAAAAGTTTTTTTTACATGATTTCAAATGTAAAACAAAAAAGAAGATCTACATTTTTTTACATACTTTCAGATGTTGAAAAAACGTATATATATGTTTGAACCATTTAAGGGTTAAATATCGTGTAGCTATGTACGTAGGTAGGTGTAGGTATGGAGCCCAAGCGGACTACATACCTACATTATTATTGTATGTAACTCATACTTATGTGTACCTATACCTAAGTAAACTTACACACTGTGCTGGCATGCAGGTACACATTAAAATCACTAAGAGGAGCATTAAATATTGTATAAAACGTTAATATAGATATTTTGCTTAATCCATCTAAATACACCCCACAGTAGATTAAATTAACAAATATGAGATGTGGTAGCCAGGTGACTTGTAGGACTTGTGGTAGCCAGGTATCTTGTAGGACTTGTGGTAGCCAGGCAACTTGTAGGATTTGTGGTAGCCAGGCAACTTGTAGGATTTGTGGTAGCCAGTCAACTTGTAGGAGTTGTGGTAGCCAGGCAACTTGTAGGACTTGTGGTAGCCAGGCGATTTGTAGTCCAACATCAAGAGAAAATGTGTACACTATAATATTACTGGGGGTAAGTGGAAAATTATTCCTTTCGTATGCCTTCACTCAGGGCGTCATTTCTTTTAAAAATGGGAGTGTTTCTCTTTATTATTCTACTGTATCAACATGGAGACAACTTGTACACAATGTAAAGTGACGAAAACCAGACATGTTCGCCTGCTTTGTTTACATTGTGTGGGTGGGGTGGGGTGGGGAGGGCTGCCCCTGTAGACTACCCATACTTCCCAAACCTGACTTCTTAAAATAAAACTCGCCTTTCACCCTACATTAAGACTACAAATATTTTAAGGTAATTAATGAATGTGCTGTATATGTATTTTATCGCTCTGGAGAGCTTTAATTAAATGTAGTATATTACATGTGGGTGGGGTGGGCTGACCTGGCTGGCTACCATGCCTCCCAGACCTGATTTCCTACAAATGAAACTCACATCTCACCCTACATTAAGACTACAAATATTTTAAGGTAAGTAATGGGTGTGCTGTGTGTGTATTTTACTTTTTATTGTTTTTAATGCCTAGTTCTATTGTTAATGTAATATGTTAGTGTAAACTTGTTACCTGGCATTTATATGCATTTATAAGTGGAAAAAATGGCGTTCTGCTTTCCAGCAATGTCTGCTTTCCGGCAGTAGCCTGGAACCTAACCTGCCATATAAGTGGGGCCCTACTGTAGACCAAAATCAATTCAAACTTTTCTCTAAGTAAGACTGGCCAGTTTTTAAGAAAGTAAGTAACTACAGTAATTTAGTAAGTTTGTTTTATGTAAGCATAATGTACATAACATACAAATTTGTAATAATGGTCTTGAGAGCACACATATGTTACAGGCACATAAAAGAACATTAAGTTGATTTAACATAGGGTAACTAGATAAACTCAAGCACTGTGGTTTATTTCTGATCAGAAGAGACGTTCTCCTATTATTTCACAGACACCAATTTGATTAATAAAATTGACACATGATAATTTACACAATCTGACATCAAATGATTGTTTTCTGTGAGGAAAACACATTGCCAGTAAAAGTTTAAAGCTGAGTAGAAGATGCATTCTCCAGTTATTTCTCAGAACCAACAAAATTTATGCTTACACAACTTAAACCCATAAAACACTCCATTCATTTCATTTGATGATCAGCCATTGAAGATGGATGCCAATCACATTGGTTTTATTTTAATTGGAGGAAAGCTCTAAACCTGTAGAAGTCATATAGCTTCTGTGGAATGGGGGGTATTCGAATTCGATCCAAGCAAGGGGAAAGGTGACTCAAGTTCCTTGGATCAAGAACACCTTAACAGTATCAGGGCAATAAGATAAAATAATACTACACCATTCCAAGAGTAAAAGTGACAAAATGGCATTTACCCGCTCCATTAATGGTTTCACTGCCATGTTCCCTGAAATTAAAAGTGCTGACAGTGTCAAAATTTTTCCTAAAAAAAAGCTAGTTTTATTTTCTGAAATGATAGAGAATTTTTTCGAAGGTAATGAAACCAAACACACGAAATGTGATGGAACACTTATGGAATTACACAAGTGCAAAGTTGGCATTCTGAATGTAATTTGTATAGCAGTGATTTTGCTGGTTTGAGTCTTTTTTTAAGCCAGTTCCAATGTGCAGTTTGGCCTAATTTCTAGCTGTTTTGCTAATATGCCTTCCATTTTATTGATGGAGCACAAAAAAGCATTCGTTCAATTGTCAGACCTACCGTATGTGTAATGTGCATGGGGCGGAGCAGTATAACAGCTTCATCTCGCCTGTCTATAGTACAGTATATAAGTCCCTTCTCTGCGCATGTGCTGTACTTTTATCAAGATAGATGAACTAAACCCATCATCTCCAGGCTGAGGGACTGATTACCTAAAACTTTTCACATTGCACGTTCTTTCCTATATTTGACTGATGAAGCCACTGACTGGCAAAACTTTTCCATAATAAAGATACCCAAATGTTGCACAAGTGCCCCATTCTTCAACATGAATATAATATGCAGTACTTTACAATATTTAAATATAGACTTCCACAGTGTAATATCACAAATAATGAAGATTAACATTAATTAATTAATTTTTTTTTTTTTTTAAGGAAGATGGCTTTATCTCACCCACATCGACCCTCTGCTCTCAAGCAGCAGAACAAGAAGCACCAGACTCTTGGACATCGCAGTAAAGGGTCTGTTGCTAAATCCAACAAAGGTAAGACATGCTCTCCATAAGCAATGTGTAAAATATGAAATGTATGGTGTTCTAATGCATTTGTGGTGTTAACTCCTAAACTGTGGCATACCCGAAAAAAAAATTCCTTTGTGTATGGGAAGAGTTTGAAAAGAATTTTTTTTTTCTCATAGAATGAAAGAGTGCATTTTTATGAATCAGATAAGACTAAAATGAGTGGAATCTAATTAAAAAATTATAGATTTTATGGTGTGTTGAAGTTGGCAAAAAAAAAAATGACCACTTGTCAGCATCAGCAGCATAAATACACCACTGATAGACATGTATACATTTTACATTTTACAAATTATGTTTTTTTTTTTCAGTTTAACTTTTTTAGAACTTCAAACATGGGGAAATGCTTAACCTAACATGTTTCCACTTGGAAAATACAGTATACAGTAGGGCCCCGCTTTACGGCGTTTCACCTTACGGCGTTCCGCTAATACGGCGATGTCAAATTATGACCAGAATTTGCTATACGGCAAGCGGTCTTTCAAATACGGCATGCCCCACCTGGTTTGTTTACATTCTCCCTGACCACATCTATTATTGTCAGGAAACTTTCCAAAATTTCAAGTGTTTTAACCCTTTGACTGTTTCAGGCCCCTTTCTGAAACTGTCATTCTATGTCGCTAAATTTTTGAAAAAAAAAAAAAAAAAAAAAATTTCTTATGAAATGATAGAGAATCTTTTCCCGATGGTAATGGCACCAAAAGTTCGAAATTTGGTCAAAAACTCATGGAATTACGCTTCCGCGAAGTTAGCAGTCTCGGCGACATTTGCGTATCGGCGATTTCGCCGAATTTGAGCCCTATTTTCAGCCAATTCTGTTGTTCCAGTTGACCAAACTCATAGCTATTTCTTTAGAACTCCATTTTATCTATCAGCTGAGTACAAGAAACCTCCCATTTACCAATTTGGACTACCCAATATTGTGGTCAGAAATTGGCAATTTGGCCAATTTCACGCAAATTAAAAAAGATGCCAATTTCAAAAAAGGGTCCAGAATAAACAATGTAGACATTCTTGGCACTAAAATATAACATATCCTCTGTTCATTAGTCACGTCCCTAGGCCCCTCTTATATTACTATTGCTTTCTATTTTGATTTTTTATTCATACAAAAAAATACAAAATTTACTGTTATGCAGACTACTGCATTATTGTAAAAATGGTACAAATAATATCAGTGCACTAGTGAAAGAATATTAGACTCCCCAGTTGACGTGTATTGGACGTGTGGTGTGATTTGTTTACTCCTGAACATTGGTAAAAATCGAACATTTCCGCTACTTTGAGCTCAGTTTCAAGGTCGTTTTCATTGTCAAAGTAATGAAAATCATCTCTATTTCTGTAATGTGTTTTCCATTTTATCACCTAAGACCATGAAAACGCAAATACATCGATAAATACTATACGAAAATACACCTCAAAGTCGGCGTTTTAATCCAAAAAAACGATCAGTTTTTTTTTTCTCATTACACACTGTGTGCTGCAGGATTTTTTTTATGTGGTGCACACTGACCACACAGACCCATTGCCCTCACATGGGGCCTACCAGTTTTCTTCCGATGTTTAAAGCCACTAGAATTATTAGTATATTACATCTGAAACACTGGCGAAAGAGTAATATACGCCCAAAACATCAAAGGGTTAAAGTTACTGCGTTTTTATATGTACTCTGAAATTTAAAATTAGTGTCCGTACAAATATACTTACTGTGCGGGTGTGCAGGTACACTTAAAATCATAAGTCTCTCTTTACCATACCCAAACTCCCGTAATAAAATTTACTCTTGGCACACAAAAATACTTTTTTTTAAAACTTAAATATAGGCATTTTCATTAACCCATCTTGATATTTTCCTAAAATTATATAAAAAACCCTTTAAAGCTAAAACAGTACATACACTCACAAAAATAGAAATTGACGTAAAATGAATTTTTTCCAAAGCTGTGAGGGAGTTTTTTAAAAATTCCGTTTTTTAGTCAAATTTTGGGGGGATAACTGAAAAAATATTTTTTTTCGTATGCTTCACTTATATATAGAAATTTTCAAACCCCTTTGGTTTATGCTTTTTATAATAAAAATAATAATAATACGTGGACCCTTGACCAACGCTGGCATCATCAAACTTTAAATCCGACTGCGATACTTTTAAAACCAAAAAATTTTTGCCTCGACTAAACTAAAAAACTCGACCAATGCGATTCTTTTCCTCGAGACCGCCACTTGGGGCCAGTGTTTACAAGCCAGCCACCACCGTGGTCCCACCAAAACTACAATCAAACATTTCATATTATCCAGCGTTTGTAGTGTTGCCCTCAAAATAAGTCACCAGGGCCCCAAAAAGCTTCTAGTGCCAACCCACAGCAAAAGGGGGTGAGAATTACTAGGAGTAAAAGAAAGAATCATTCTAATATAAAAAGGGGGAGGCTGTCTCCGAGCGGGCCCGGGTTTTTGACACAAAACCCCAATCAACCATCGCTACTTTGGGGGGTAAAAAACGCAATCAAGGAAGCTTTTTCTTCCCAAAGGTCAACTATGTTTTTAAAAATAAATTGCAAGGATAGAAGATGTGAGAGACTGTATTGGGTGGATCCAAAAACAGATGCAGGAAAGACTCTAAACGTCAATGTGAAAAGGCAAAAAACTTGCTGACGATTAATTTAAAAAAATGCCTACAACTATGGTATGTGTGCTAATGCTTGGTGATTGAAAAGTAAGCCTTTATTGGGGATCCTCTGAAACCCCCATGTTCGGGAAAAAATAATGCCTAAAGGACTTGACACCTAAATCCTAATGGAAGGGTATTCCCCCCTAAAAACTAACACAACCATACTCTCCCCTCCTCCCATCCCATCAACATCCCAGATTTCATTAAAGGTAAGTGTCCAATATTTATTTTATTTAAACTATTGTTATTTTGTTATTGTAATTTTTCTATTTCATTTAAAATTAATATTTCAGTGGGGAAAATTTTTTTTTTTTTACTTTTGGGTGTCTTGCACAGATTAAATTTTATTTTTGTTATTTTTATGGGGAAAAAAAACTCAAATAACGATAATTTTTACTAACGATGATCCTCAGGAAGGTTAAATCGTTGGGCGAGGGTCCACCGTAAAAAAAATACGAAATCTTATTTGCTCTAAAAAAAAGGGTGTTGCTGTTTTTTTTATTCTTTCCAAATTGTACAACTTTTGCCAGGTAAATTTTGTATTGGAGGTAATTATTATAATAAAAAAAAAATCGAGGTAAAGTTTTACAGACTCTTACAAACGTACATGAATGAACAAAAATAGACACATATTTATGCATTTATTTTTTTTCCTGACCAAGTGAGCCCCCATATCTGTTCTTTTTTATTCTTTCATTGTCTAACTCGTATCTCGTTTACTCTTTTGTTAATAGTTGGGTTTCATTACGATGGGGTCTAAGGTTTGCTGTGAAAAAAAAGGATCGTAAGCCTCTTGCTTTAAGTGCTAAGTTAGAGGATGATGGGGCCCTTCTGATTTTATTCAAAAAAACATCCTGCCACCACCTCCACACATTAATATTAAAATTTTAAGGGAAGTAATAAGTGCTCTGGGTATCTACCTTTTATTGTGTTTTTTAATGCCTTTTCTATTGCTAACTTAATAAATTGTGTAAACTTGTTGTCTGGGGATTTTTGCATATTTTAGTGCCTGATAATAATACCTGGGGACCTGTGTGGTAGCTGGGTGCAGGGACAACATTACGTTTTCTCTTCTCAGCCATCAGAGAAAACGTGTATGAATCTGCATTTGGCCCAGCCACTCCCCCACTCCACTTTTGTTTACAATTTTCGGCATGAATTATTCATTACTTCTCCCTTCGTTTATGATGGCATCTAAAGGTAGTTGTTAGAAATGATTAAATTCAGTGAACAAGGTACGTATGTTGATGTTAATAATATGGCTCTGAGCCACAGTGTAGGTAGCCGGTAGGTGTATCCCAGGCGGGCTATGCCTACCGGCTACCTACACTGACTTCCTACAAATAAATACTACTCACCTCTCTTCCTATATTAACCCTTAAACGGTCCAAACAGATCGATGTTCAAATTCGTAGTGTAAGCAAACACTATAACATATTTATTAGAAAACGTTTCGGTCCTGGGACCTTGATCACTTCTAACATACAGAGGTAGAAAGACATTATATATATAGGCGGAGAGTGAAATGTGACGCACGTGACCTGAGGAATGTCATAAGAACATAAGAATGGAGGAACACTGTAGAAAGCCTACTGGCCCATGCGAGGCAGGTCCTTATCAAAACAACCCCTGCCCACGATGAGGACGGGCAGAACAAGAAATCCATGTGACTCCCGCGCCGTTGGGTTGGTGCTGCTTTAAATACCAACCCAGCGGCGCGGGAGTCACATGATTTCATCGTCTGCCCATCCTCATCGTGGGCAGGGGTTGTTCTGATAAGGACCTGCCTCGCATGGGCCAGTAGGCTTTCTACAGTGTTCCTCCATTCTTATGTTCTTATGACATTCCTCAGGTCACGTGCATCACATCTCACTCCCGCCTTATATATAATGTCTTTCTCCCCTCTGTATGTTTAGAAGTGATCAAGGTCCCAGGACCGAAACGTTTTCTAATAAATATGTTATAGTGTTTGCTTACGTGTCTTTCTAAACCAACGTAGGAGTGAGGACCTGATTAGCAGGTATAGGTCAGCAATAGAAATAATTAGAAGTAAGGGTGGGAACCCTCTCATATGGGGTATTTCCCAAAGGAGGGGAGTTGGAAATGAATGGTTTGTCCAGGGCAATTGGTGCAATTGCTGGCTGGAAAAATTTACTGTAAGGAAAATGCAGTAACATTCATTGACAACTGGGACCTCTTCTATGGCAAAATGACATGTTTGCTAGGGATGGGGTCACTTATCTAGGTGTGGGGGGGAGCACGGGCAACTGCAGTGGAGGGAGCAGTTAGGACTTTAAACTAG